ATACGTTTACTTTTGCTTCTAATCAACTTAGACCCGTCATACTTACCAACGTGATAAAGCTGGCTTGATTGGCTCTAACAATCTACTCTGCAAAATTTTTTTTAGACGCTGAATTACAGTCTTTCAACACTTTAACTTTATGTAGCCAGGTGACCTTGTATACCACGGTCACTCATTAACGACTGTCGAATTGTTAAGACCGAACATCACAATATGCAGATGATGTTCGAGTATCATCTAACCATTAATGAACCTTTTTGAAACGGACGATAGGTTGTGTGCTGCTTGCTGTTTCTTGATATTTGGTTTTGCGTTATTGTCCCTATTTTCTTCATCTGTATTTTCCCTGTACTTGCTATTCTACCTTTTTTCACCAATATTGTTTCATTGAATTAAGAAGAAAACATTTGTATATTTGTTCTTTAGCATATATTAAATTCAAACTTGTTGTCTACATTTTACTTTCTATAAAATACGTATTGGCACACTTACACAGTTCGGAAACTCTGGAGGTCCACTAGTTAATCTCTACGGTCATGTCGTGGGTGTGAACACTCTCATGGCTGATACAGGCGTCGGCTTTGCCATTCCTGTGGGCCAGGTGCGCAGATTCATCGAGGTCGCTTTGAAAGCTGTGGCGTCGACTTCTCCATCTGCACCTCCACCTTCCAGAATACCTGTAGGTACCACCTAATTCGGTGAAAACGACAACTACACTTTTCCGCATTTCACTTCCCCCATCTTCACTGGCATTAGGCCCATTTGGCTTAATTAAGAACTATATCTCTTCTCATCTCATCCATTCTATATATGATCATTTCTCTTATTCGATCAACTCCTGACCAACTTTATCTAGGATATCCAAACTGCCCATCTCATCCACTCGATTAATCAAAGCTAGTATTTATAGAATTGGTTTGACCTTATTTTCACTACTCTTCCAAATTATCAGGGCGGCCTAGATGTACACACCTTGTCCGGAGTCCTCTGTGATAGTATCCACGTTAATTTTCAGCAATAAACCGTGGACTTGGTACATTTCTAGGCATTCCCGGCATTTCCAATTGCCCA